AAATTGCCTCAGGGGCATGCAACCAGAAGGACACCAGTTGTTGTTTACACAGCATGGAGAGTCCTCCAGGCCCCAGCTCATGACACCCAAGGGCTTATAAGAAGGGTGCTTTATCACATAATCTTCTAGACCAGGAATATAGGCTGTTACTACATAAGTTTAAATGCAGGAAAAGGAACCAGTTGGGTGATGGTGTGTTGTTCAAAGAGGAATCCTCCCAAATATCTGTGTCTAAGGCAAGATCTTGTTTTTATTGTTGTTCAGTTACAGTTGTCCCCATTTCCCCCCTGCCACATTACTCTTCCCTGCCCTACCCACCCACCACCCCACATCCAATCCCTCCCCCCTGCCTCTCCCCGACCCCCACCATTGTCTTTGTCCTTGGGTCATTTTTACAGTTCTTTGATTTGACCCTTCCCTAAGGCAAGATCTTTAAAAAACAGAGATAATTAATTCCTGGGAGAGCCAAGCCTTAGATAAAAAGATAGGTCCTTTAATGCTGTCAGCCTCCTATCTGTGTGCTAAAAAAGAAGGTGCTTTCTTATTTTAAAAGCAGAATAAGAAGGGTTGGTTATTAGGTGATAGAAATATTTGTGTCTCTTGTCTGTGACTATAGAGCTAGGTGTTGAAGATCCGAAGTTCCCCTTAGTACCTGAGGACTTAGGGTTTCAAATTCAACATCTCATTCTTTCCTTTGACTTGAATTTTTTAAGGCATTTCTGCTTTCAAAATGCTTGATGAATCCATTTGGATAAATTTGTGTCATTTTTGTATTGTTGGCTTCCTGTAACATTGTGCAGTCAGTAGGGGCTTGAAAAATATCCATTACACAGCATTATGTTTGGATAGCTACATACGTAGTTATTTCTTATTTCTAAATACATTGGGCATTCTCTTTGACTACTGAAGCAACCATGGTAAGTTAACCAGAATTGCTTATATTTCATCCAGTTTTTCACATTTCTGTTTTTCTAGCAAGAGGTTTATAATTAAAATCATTGATGCATTACTTTCTGATGTTTGATGGGGAATCACTTTGAGATGTTTTAGGATAGTTTTGCAGAAAGTATTTGCTATTGTCACTGTACATGACTATATCTATATAATCAGGAACAGATTTACAGTCTATGGATCCCTGAATGAATTTCTAGGTTTGGGAGTATGAGACACTGTAGTAGTTGAGACACTGGAGTAGAGCTTGATGGGTCACTGAAGGTTTCCTCCAGGGGTAGGACATTGGTGGATGACTTGGATAGTCGGAGACTGGTGTAAGTACAGTTACTCATTCCCTTGAAACAGTGCTCTGACTTTGATAATTTATAGGCATGAAAGGGGGGAAACCCAGTTTGTGCTGATAGGAGGAACTATGAGAAACAGATGAGAATAAAGAAGGAAAATTTGAGGTGAAGCTGAGACAGGGAGTGTGACATTCACTGTGGTCAAGACATGGTAGCATGGTATTCCATCGTGTAAATGTACCATAGTTTTTTGACTCCCTCATTTACTGATGGGCACTTAGGTTGCTTCTAGCACTTGGTTATTGTCAGTTGTGGTGCTCTGAACATTGGGGTGCATAGGTTCTTTTGAATTGGTGTTTCAAGGTTCTTTGGGTATACTCCCAGCAGTGGAATAGCTGGGTCAAAAGAAAGTTCCATTTTTAGTGTTCTGAGGAAATTCCATACTGTTTTCCAAAGTGGCTGCACCCGTCTGCATTCCCACCAACTGTGCACTAGGGTTCCTTTTTATCCACAACCTCTCCAACACTTGCTGTTTGTTACTTTGTTTTTGATGGCCATTCTCACAGGTATAAAGTGGTACCTCATTGTGGTTTTAATTTGCATCTCTCTGATGGGTAGTGATGCTGAGTATCTTTTTATATTTCTCTGGGTCCTTTGTATGTCTTCCTTGGAGAAGTGTCTGTTCATGTCCTTTGCCCATTTTTTAATTGGGTCTTTTGTCTTCCTGGAGTGGAGTAGTGTGAGTTCTTAATATATTCTGGAGATCAAACCCTTGTCTGAAGTATCATTTGCAAATATCTTTTCCCATATGGCTGGTTCTCTTTTCATTTTAATGCTGTTTTCTTTAGCCATGGAGAAGCTTTTTATTTTGATGAAGTCCTGTTTGTTTGTTTTTTCCTTTATGTCCCTTGCTCTAGGGGACATATCAGTGAAAATATTGCCACATGGAATATCTGAGATTTTCCTGCGTATGTTCTGCTCTAGGACTTTTATGGTGTCATTTCTTGTATTTGTCTTTTATGCACCTTGAATTTATTTTTGTGCATGGTGCAAGTTGGTGACTGAGTTTCATTTTTTTGCATGTAGCTGTTCAGCTCTCCCAACACCATTTGTTGCAGAGGCTATTTTTACTTCATTTTATGATTCTGTCCCATGTTGAATATTAATTGAGCATAGAGACTTGGATTTATGTCTAGGCTTTCTATTCTGTTCCATTGGTCTATGTGTCTGTTCTTACATGATGGAATACTACACAGCAGAAAGAAAGAAGGAGCACTTACCCTTTGCCACAGCACAGATGGATCTGGAGAGCATTATGCTAAGTGAAATAAGCCAGAAGGTGAAATGTAAATACCATATGATCTCACCTATAAGTGGAACCTAATCAACAAAACAAACAAGTAACCAAAATATAATCAGACACATTGAAATTCAGAACAAATTGACAGTAACCTGAGGGGAGGTGGAAGGGCCTAATGGAGGGTAAAGGGGGAAAGGTTTTCAAGAATATCTATAAAGGATACATGGACAAAACCAAAGGAGGGTAAGATCAAGGGTGGGAAGTAGGCATGGCTGGGGGTGGGGAAATGGAGACCACTGTACTTCAATAACCATAAAAAATGTGAAGAAAGAAATAAAAAAAGAAATGTTAACAAAAAGGCATGTTAGCATGGAACAGAGGAGAAGGACAACATTTGCATTCTGTTTCTCAAAGGAAATCTTTGGCCCTGGAACTGAGATCTGTAAGAAGAATGCATTAAAAGACAAGATCTGTGAGGAAATGAAGTACCTTTCGCTGTGATTGGGCATGTATATTAAACTCCAGGCTCAGGGATGCTTTTTATTCTGACTGTATTCAAACTTTCTTGGATCTGTTCTAAACAGGTAAGACCTTATTTCTGCTACCTGGATTGTAGTCCCAACAATATAACGGAATTTCTGCATCCCTGAATTCAGACCCTTTTAGAGAGTCAAGGCAAGTATTGCTAAAGATAAGAGATGAAAGTCAATGTTATTTGCCACCATAGGGTGATTTTTCCTTGTATACAGCTTGTGTTAAGGCATCATAAGAACGGCAAGATGTGGCTGTGGGAAGACATTGGTGTGTTGGGCATTAGAAGATTTGTATTGTTGTTGTGATCTGATATAATCAATTAGCTGTGTTTCTTTGGACTTTACTTCTCTGGGTCTTGGTCTCCTTATCTTTAAAGAGTTTATTAGTTGATGAAATGCAATGTTCTGAAGGATTTCCAAGGTACAACTGCTCTAGAGTCTTGACTAGTGGATCCTCAAACTCATTAACATTTGACAGGCTAGCAGAAGTACTGCCATGGATTTCATGTGATCACAGAGGTGGTGTTAGGTATCAAGCACCTTGTTCAAGTTCTGACATTGCTGATTCCTAGAGGTAAACTGGCTCTATATTGGAGACGTCTTAATGTTAAAGAGCTAGAGACAGACATCCTGGATTTGAGTATAGGTTCCTCTATTTTCTCTTATCATGATGACTTTGGGCAAGTCATTTATCTTCTCCTACCCACAGTTTGCTTTTCTTTAAAATACAGATAACAGTGTACCAATCACAAAGCACTGTTGTGAAGATTAAGTGAAATAATGTATGTAAAGTACTTAGTATAGTGCCTAGTACAGAGTAAACACTCCACAAAAACTATCACTATAGGAACTACATGGTGTGAAAATAAATCTCTGCAAGTTATGAAGAAGGGTGAAAGCAGAGTTATAATAAAACTTTGCATTTCAAAGCATTTGAACATGTGAAGTTTAAACAATAATGGAGGTTTCTCAGGTTGGAAGTTTGTCTGCTTAGGTCTTTGCCTTTCCAATTTGTGGGCTATTTTATGAAAGACCAAGATCATTCAGCTAGATCAACATTTTCTGTGCTTCTCATTTAAAAAAAATATTGGTATTAGAAAATATGAGTGGTAATAGGCACATGATGGCCTTTGAACCAGGGCAGAAAAAGAACTGATTCTGTGCTTGAGTCTCTCAATCACAGAAGGCATTAAAGATATCAATTTTGATATAAACCAAGCTGTTTGTTTCTCTGCGATGTGGGACAAAAGGAGGCAGATGAAAACTGTAGCAGGGAAGTGTTTTAAAATATGTCCTAAGTACATCAAGGTTTGCAAGAAACTGAAGTAATAAATGAAATAATGATGATGAATGAGTCAAGCTGGTGTCTTTTTTCCATCATGAAATTTAACCTTTGGCACAGGTCTTCCAGAAGTAATAAAAACATATTAGTAGTCAGTTGTTGCTTCTTTCAGGGCTCTCTCCTTCAGAGAAGCATTGGTGATTAGAAGTGCACTCAACTTTCTTCTCTAGGGTACCAGTCCCTGGAAGGATTCTTTGATGCAGTGGATTATCCAGAAGGGAGGCTGCTATCCCAAGGCTTAGACTCTAAGGCTAGCTTCTTACTGAAGCACTTGTGAGATCATCAGAAAAAGGTTTCCTTCCCATATAATATATAGAGAAATAAAAGAATCTGAGGTCCAGCAAAAAGTGAGAATAAATAATGGCAAAATTTAGTTTTAAATACTATTTGGAAGTTTAATCAAATGATATGTGTATTCTTCATCAAGTAAATGGAAATAGACTTTGCATTAAACTTATCTGGTTGATTACTTAGACTTGGCATATTGAATATCAGCATCAATGAGTTAAGTTCCTTTTTTCTTCTTTCTTGTTTTTTTTAAAGGTAAAGCATTTCTTCCTGGAGTTTTTATCACACATACTATATAGATGGAGAATAAAAGGAATGTGACTGAATTCATTTTAACAGGTCTTACACAGAACCCCCAAATGCAGAAAGTAGTGTTTCTGTTATTTTTGCTTCTATACCTGGTAACACTCTCAGGCAACTTGCTCATTGTGGTTACCATTACTACCAGCCAGGCTCTGAATTCTCCCATGTACTTCTTCCTGACCCACCTTTCCTGGATAGACATAATCTATTCTTCTTCTTCAGCTCCTAAGATGATCGTGGACTCCCTTCATGAGAAGAAGGTAATCTCTTTCAATGGTTGTATGGCTCAAGTGTATGCAGAGCACATTTTTGGTGCTACTGAGATCATTCTGCTGACAGTGATGGCCTATGACCGCTATGTTGCCATTTGCAAACCTCTGCACTATACCACCATCATGAGCCACAGGCTGTGCGGTCTCCTGTTGGGAGTGTCCTGGGCTGGAGGATTTCTCCATTCGACCATTCAGATCCTCTTCACAGTATGGCTGCCCTTCTGTGGCCCCAATATAATTGATCATTTCATGTGTGACTTGTACCCTTTGTTGAAACTCGTCTGCATGGACACTCGCTCTCTTGGTCTCTTTGTTGCTGCCAACAGTGGGTTCATCTGCTTATTAAACTTCCTCCTTTTGATGGTCTCCTATGTGGTGATCTTGCACTCCCTAAAGAACTATAGCTTGCAGGGGAGGCACAAAGCCCTCTCCACCTGTGTCTCTCACATCACTGTTGTCATCTTACTTTTTGTGCCCTGCATTTTTGTGTACCTGCGTCCAGTAAGCACACTGCCTGTTGATAAAGCTGTTGCTGTCTTTTATACAATGGTGGGCCCTATGTTAAATCCCTTAATCTATACCCTCAGAAATGCTGAGGTAAAAAATGCTATGAGGAAGCTCTGGAGGTCAAAACTGACTTCAGAAAAAGATTAAATAGAATCACTGAGTATTATAGATAGAAGTATTAGAGGGAATCCAGTCAAGCCTCTTAGATCTATGGACAAAGCCATTGACTCAATAAAGAAGATGGGTAGTTCTTGCAGACATCCATTAAAGCACAAAGCCAAAAGTTAGATTGGAATCCAGACTTACTGTCCCCCAACTGTCTCTCATCACCATAATTTACTGCTTCTTAACAAATAAATAATGATATATTACCTGAAAATTTGAAGTATCTGTAGAAGCTAAAAGGTATGGATCTAGAATGCTGGATTTGTGTTAAAATAATCTTATTGTATACCATTGAGATGTTGGTTCCCACTGGGTTCCAGTCAGTTGGGAAAGGTGTAGTCACTGTCCAGTGGGTGGGGAAGTTTCATGGGGTGCCTTGGGCCAGAACTAGCTCAGGGTACCTGTACAGAGACTGATAGGCAAGAAAGGGACTGGCAAGCTGGGAATGACCCACTGGGGTGCTGGTGGGATGAGGGTGGTGAACAAGGAACTGTGGTCTGCATGGGCAAGCAGGAAACAGCTCTGTGGGGTACAGGTGGACCAATGTTCTAGTCATTCATTGGCTGCTGCTGAGTCCTGGGATGGTAAGGCTGTGAGCTATTGGCAGCCCAAGCACACACAGCAGGTGACAAGGAAGCACTGGCCCCGTGAAAGAGCCTGGATCTGGACATAGCAGTGTTCACTGAATTGTGCTCCCTACTGGCACCATCAGAGCTCAAGTCTCCATTCTCTCCCATCCAGATCACCACAGTAACCTCCTAACTGTGCTCCTATTGCCTGTCTTGTCCTCTTCAATCCCATTTCCCATACTGTAACTAGATTTATTGTTCTAAAACTAAAATATATTTATATCACTCACTGTTGAAAACAGTATGGAGTTGCTTCAAAAAACTAAAAGTAGAACTGCTGTTTGACCCAGGGATTTCATTTCTGGGAATACATCCTTGAAAGTCAGAAACACCAATTAGAAAGAATATATGTACCTCATAACAGTGTTATTTACAATAGCCAAGGTCTAGAAAGAGCCTAAGTGCCCATCAGTAAATGAATGGATTAATAAAATGTGGTATATTTACACAATGGAATACTACTACTCAACCATAAAAAAGAAGGAAACATTACCCTTTGCAACAGCATGGATGGACCTGGAGATCATTATGCTAAGTGAAATAAGCCAGTCAGAGAAAGACAAATACTATATGATTTCACTCATATATGGAACCTAATGAACAAAATAAGCTGATGAACAAAATAAAACCAGAGACATGGATAGATGGAAAGGACTACAGATTTCAGAGGGGAGGGATTGGGAGGAGCTGGAAGAAATTAGCCAAAGAACTTATATGCATATATGCATAGCCCATGAATACAGACAACAATGTTGTGAATGAAGACTGGGTGGGAGCTGGGTGGTGGGGGCAAAGGGGAGAAATAGGGGACATCCGTAATAGTGTCAACAATAAAAAAGGACATTTGGTCAAGATGGAGGCATATGTAAACACAACTTGCCTCCTTGCACAACCACAGCAAAATTATAACTAAAGTACAGAACAACTATCACTCAGAACCATCATGAAACTGAGTTTCATGGAAATCTGACAACTAAGGAATTAAAAAAGTCACAATGATCCTGAGAGGTAGGAGAAGTAGCGGGGTGGAGATGTGGAGATGTGGAGATGTGAGAACGGGCTGGTCCCACATCCATGTGTGGTGGATAAAAATTGAGAGGTATGTCTAGGGAGTGAAGGATCCCACCCCTACACTGGACCACCTGACCCCGTGTTCAGGAGTCTGGAAGAGAAGCACCCATAACTTTCTGGCTTTGAAAAATCAGTGGGGGTTGGGTTGGTGGAAGAAACTGTGGGATTCTTAGCCATCTCCTTTTGAAGGGCTCCCCACACAGACTTACTGAGACTCATTCCCTATGGGCTCCAGCAAGAGGGCAGCAGCTTGAGGGCACTATTGGCATACAGGGAGGAACTGAAGCATCAGGGCAAGAACTGGGGGACAGCTTTCTCCCAGACAGAACTGTAGGAATAGCCATTGTCCTTTTTTCTGAGGCCTTCCATCCCCTACCCACAGAGCCACATTGTGGTGGCACTATATCCAAGACTCCATCAACCTGGTTCATACAGTTTGCACCACCCTGCCTCATCCAACTTAGGGGCCCACCCAAGCTGTTATCAGTAGCTTTTCCATATGAATGGGTTGGCTTGGTGCAGGTTTCAGACCTTCCTAAATCCAATCAAACAAGCAACAGCTGAGCCCAGCCCCTGTGCCTCTTGCTAAGTGGCCCCAGGCCTGGGACTAGCAGTAGTCACCTGCAGATCACTTTATATCTTATGCCAAGGGGATCCAGACAGAACACAGATGGTGACTCACCTTGGCCTGTGCCACCCTGAGAAACCCCCAGAGCCTGTGCACCCAGTGGACAATTATAGACCACATCAGAGCACCACTACTCAACCACCTCCAAAAGCCATGGAGGGAGGTGATTGGTGGTGGCCAGTGGTCACAGCCAGTCCTACCAGATGCCTGGCCTGGGTAAATCCCTCCCACTGACCTGCTGACAGCAATCAGGACTCAACTATAAGAGGAAGTTATACATAACCCACACAGAGGGTACACCTCAAGTACCCAGCTTGGGTGATAGGAGAGTCTGTGCCACTGGACCCTACAGGACACCTATTATGTTAGGCCACACTACCAAGACAGGGAATCAATGCAGCTCTACCTAAAACAAAGAAACAAACACAGGGAGGCTGCCAAAATGAGGAGACAAAGAAATATGGCCCAAATAAAAGAACAGATCAAAATTCCAGAAAAAGAATTAAATAAAGTGGACATAAGCAATGTATCAGATGTAGGGTTCAAGACATTGGTTTAAGGATGCTCAAGGAACTCATGGGTATTTCCACAGGATAAAAACGATCCAATCAGAAATGAAAGATACACTAACTAAAATAAAGAACAATTTACAGGGAATTAACAGTAGAGTGGAGAAGCCCAAAATTAAATCAGTGATTTAGAACATAAGAAAGCAAAAGACATGTAATCAGAATAGTAAGAAAAAAAAGAGAATCAAATAAAAGAAGGATAGTGTAGAGGATCGCCTGGGACAACTACAAGCATTCCAACACGCACATCATTGGGGTGCCAGAAGGAGAGGAGAAAGAGCAAGAAATTTAAACCTATTTGATAAAAAAACAATAAAAGAGAACTCTCCTAATTTGGTGAAGGAAATAGACATACAAGTCCAGGAAGTACAGAGAGTCCCAAAGAAGAGGGACACAAAAACGACCACACCAAGACACATTATAATTAAAATACCAAAGGATAAAGATAAAGAGAGAATCTTAAATGCAGTAGAAGAAAAGCAGATAGTTACCTCCAAAGGAGTTTCCATATGACTGTCTGCTGATTTCTCAAAGGAAACTTTGCAGGCTGGAAGGGGATTGGCAAGAAGTATTCAAAGTGATGTAAAGCAAGAACCTTCAACCAAGATTACTCCAGCCACCAAAGCTATCATTTAGAATAGAAGGGCAGATAAAGTGCTTCCCAGATAAGGCTAAACGAGTTCATTATCACCAAATCATTATTGTGTGCAATATTAAGGGGACTTATTTAAGAAAAAGAAGATCAAGTGTATAAAATGGCAGAAATACATATCTATCAGCAATGGAATCTGAAAGGCAATCTAAGCAAACAAACAGAACAAAAACAGAATCATAGATATGGAGAACATTCTGATGGTTGCCAGTTGGGTGGGAGGTTTGGGGAAATGGGGGAAAAGGTGAAGGGATTAAGAAGTACAAATTGGTAGTTACAGAATGGGCAGGGGGATGTTAAGAGCAAATATTGGAAACGGAGTTGCCAAAGAACTATATGCAGGACCCATGGACATGAAGAAAGAGGGGGTGGGGGAATTGCCAAAAGGAGTGTTGGGTGCTGAGTGGAGGGGGGAAAGGGGTAAAAATTGGGACAACAATAACAGCTTAATGAATACCATATAATAAAAAACATTAAAATGACTTTCAATGTTTTCTCCACAGTACTTAGCATTGACCTTTAACACAATCATAAAACTCTTCTTGATCTCTGTTATTATCTCTCCAGCTCCATGTCTTGCTCTTTTCCCTTTTACAAACTCAATATCCAGCATGGTGCCCAGCACCCGATGGGAGGCTCAATCAATAATTGTTTAATGAGAGGATGAATTAATGACCACAGCTACACTGATTTGGTTAGGTTCCCTGCACACTTTTTCACCTCCTGGCCTTGGTTATGTATTCTACCTCCTAGGACACTGTCCTCCAACCTCATGTCTATTCACTCTGCTCAACAACTTCTTTGCATTTATTAAGTTCTGTTTTTGATGCTTTTTTCAGTAGAAACCTTTTCCTGACCCAGCAGGTTTTTGTAGTGTGTCCCTGCAATGTAGTTTCATAGTACCGTGTACCTCCATTATTTTATTACTGGTAATACTGTGTAATAATTTTGTGCTCCTTCCTGGGAAACTGTAAGTGTTCCTAAACTGTATGAAGACAGGAATTGGGTCTCTTTATTCATCATTGAAGCCACCACAACTATCAACATGCCCATACATTACTTGGGCTTGAAAATATTTGTTGATTAATCAGTGAAATAAGAAATGAAAATGATAGATTTATTCTAAAAATGCTTGTGTGTAGATGGAGCCACCTATTTACAAAATAGCTTTTAACAATAAAATGTAACCAAAAAGCACACTGATTTACAGAGAACTATAACATAAGCTGCTCACATCCATAAGATAATAAAATGTGGTTGAGATCAGGGAGAATATCAAGGTAAACTCATTGATTATATGGTGAGAGCTGTAGTTTCAAACTTTTCTCATCCTCAGTGAAAGTAGGAGCAAAAACAAATTGTGGTTCCCCTAAGAGTTCTCACCAGAATTCTCCTTAGACTTACAACAGATAAATGTGGGAAGGAATTCCCTA